AAGCCACATTGACACCTCTCCCAAATATGATAATAGTGCTACACCGGCCAAGCTACCGGAGGGTTTAGACAACTAGTTTAAACTAATCGTTATATAGTCGATGGAGGAAGCTTCGGTAACTCCACCGGAGAATTCCCGTGGTCACGCAGAGTGCCCATTTTGTGGGCAACGACTAGTTCTTGAGATGGCTCTATAAATAGAGGGTGTGGCTGGCGTATTTTGCTCTCTTGGCTCTCCTATCTGATATCCACACCAACAGGAGCTCAAGAACAAACTCCACTCACATAAGCATACTTGATATTGTGTTTTAGTGAGATTAGGAGTGTTCTAGTGCATTTGCATTGAGATCGCTAAAGTTGTGGCAATTATTTTTCTCTTGGTGGTTGCCGCTATCTAGATGTCTTGGAGCAGCGAGAATTCATCGAACACTGCATGGATATTGTGCAGGTGTTTTGGAAGAGGATTTATGAGGGCCTCTTGTGCTCATCCCTACCAGCAAAGGTGAAGATAACTCTAGAGGAGTCAAGGTTGTAGGAGTGCCTTGTTGATCAGCCATTTCATAGGTGAGTGCTCACATTGGAGCCTACCTTGTGGGGCAGTTAAGCTTGTGTAGGAGGGGTGATCTTTGGACTCGCCTCAATGGGGAGTAGGCAGCTAGCAAGCTACCGAACCTCAGGGAAATATCTTCTTTGATCTCATTCTTAGGGGTTGTGTAGAACCTCAGGGAAATATCTTCTTTGATCTCATTCTTAGGGGTTGTGCATTCTACACTTGCTCTTTACTTTGTGCAATTGTGCGCTTGTGTTGTTGAGTAGCACTAATTTGTTTGCTGAGTTGTTTTTCTTTCTAGTGTAATTGAGTAGCTATAGTGCCGAGCGTGAGTAGTTACCAGTTCTAGTGCGTAGCTTGTTGTTTATCTTTCTCTTTAGACTTGTGTAGTAGCTTGCTTGCTTGTAGTACTAGTTGTTAGCTTTGCCTACTATAATTGTGTAGGGTGCTCTTGTTATACTAAGCTTGAGTTGTCCTTGTTAGGGTCATATTATTATTGTCTAACGAGTTTTGTTAGTGTTGTGCCTTGTAGCATTTTAATAGGTTATTCACACTATCTAGCCATCAACCGGTTCTTTTGTGGGGAAGGTGTGCTGAGGGGAAAGGATTTAGGGAGAAGGTTCCTTTTATTCTTTAATAAGATATAATTATAGTAATACACACAATTTGAATTGTCATACATATGCACTGCAAACAAGACTCTAAGTTATCCCTTGCTATCTAGGATGAAGCATAACTGTGCTCCTTCACTCATTGGGTACATGAGGAACGACCAAACCATGCACAAAGCATCTTTGAAGGAGATGTGGAGGTAAGTTCAGAAGCACATGAGGGCTCGGGATAGAGCTGTATAGGGCCATGACAATGCAATCATGCAGCAGCACAAAGTGCTATTCCCTCTGTCCCAAATTATAAGTTGCTTTGTCTTTTTTGGTATATCTATTTTGCTATGCATCTAGGTATAATATTATGTCTAGATACATAACAAAATAGATGAACCAAAAAAGTCAAAGCGACTTATAATTTGAAACAGAGGGAGTACTAGAAAAGGAGGTACTGGTAAAGAAGTTGAGGGGCACTAAAAAGGCCACCAAGAAGAAGTGAGAGATGTGGGATGCAACCTATGTTTTAATTTATATGCTGATCCCTATAAACTTGTAAGGCAGTGCCTTTGAACTCGTACATAAACCTAGCTGGGCCCTTTGAACCTGCTGCTAGAATCTTGTGAACTATATGCATGCTATGAACTATATGCATGCTGCTAGAAATTACATATACGCGTGTTGCTAAAATGTTGTTGAGATTTGCTAAAATGTGCTGATGACAACCAGTGAAATATGCAAAATGTGCTAAAATTCATCCCACACCATGGTATGGAAGACTGGCTTTTGATCCAAAACTTCTACCATGGTTAGTCCCGCTGGATAGGAGCCATTTAGATGCTGCCGCAGGAGGAGCATTCTTTTCTCTAAATGTCACAGATGCAAAGGCATTGATCGAGAAGATGGTTTCCAACCAAGGATGGAGCGACGAACGACTCCAACCCCGCAAGAGAGGTATGCATTCTCTTAAAGAAGCTGACATGCTTGCAACTAGGATGGATCTACTCACAAAAAGACTAGAGAATTGCGAGAAGATGAATGCCCAAGAGACACTCCAAGCCATGGATGCCCACATGACTTGTGAAGTCTGTGGAGACACTGGACATTTGGGTAATTTCTATCCCGAGACCCATGAGAATATCAACTTTGTTAACAATGGCAATGGGTTTCGTCCACAACAAAATCAAGGATGGAATCAGCGCTCCAACACCCAAGGAGGTAATGGTTACAACAACTTGTCATCTCAACGTCCGAGTAATCAAGGTAACAGTTACCCTTTCCTCAAAGATCTAGTTTCTAGCCAGGGTAGAATGATCTATAGTATCAATAAGAAGCTTCATGCTAATGACAAGATGTTGGAAAATATAAATGCTAAATTGGATGATTTCTTTGCTGCTATAAAGAATCAACTTAGCTTCAATAAGATGTTAGAAACTCAATTAGCACAATTAGCAGCTGCTATCCCGTCTTTTGAGAAAGGAAGAATTCCTAGCAAGCCTGAAGAATCCATGGAGACCACCAACCTCATCATATCAAGGTATGATTTTACTTTCGATGGTTGGGGAGTTCTCATTAAGAAGGGTGATCCGGGAAGCCCGGTCATCACCTGCTCCTTTGGACCTCACACTTTCCATAATGCCATTTGTGATCTTGGAGCAAGTGTTAACATCATGTCTAAGGAAACTTATGACAACTTGTTTTACACAACCTTAGCCCCAACCTCAGTTTACCTACAGCTAGCCAACCAGTCTACCTGCTACCTAGAAGGAGTAGCCATATACATCATGGAAAAGTGAAAGAAGCCTATGTACCCATAGACTTCATGATCTTAGACATGGGCATATACAAGGATACGCCCCTTATCCTTGGCCGTCCTTTTCTTAACACCGCTAACGCATGCATATATGTGGCTTCTGGACAAATTCAATTCTATTTTACTAGAAAGAAAGAAATGTTTACTTTTGCCTCTAGAAAACCAATCTTTGATGAGAAACAAGGAGGACCAAGCTAAGGCAAGGAAGCCAAAACCAACTGAAGTAACGGAGAAGCCCGTCAAAGAGCAAACAAAGCCAAGAAGGGGATGGCGCAAGAAGAAAGAACGTTCACCTGCATCATCATCGCTTGATCATGCAAGGACCTCCGAGGTGGACAAGGAAATAGAACCCCCACTTGAGGAAGAAAAGCCTTGAGACAGTCCAAAGGTAAGTTCTAATTCGATGCATCTTTATTGCATTAATATCAATTGCATTTCACGTTTAGTTTTTCAATAATAAGAGCACTAGCATGCTTACAAATATAATGAATGATAGGATAGAAAAAGGAACAATAATAATAATAATAATAATAATAATAATAATAATAATGAATCATCATAGTAGTAGCAAATAAACAAAAAAGGAAGAATCAGGAGCCGCCCATGAAGATGAGTCCGACCTCCGCAAAAGGCAAGTTTGGGGGAGAACTTCCCCCGCTCAGGTATGAAAATCTTGAAATCCATTAGTGTTTGGTTGTCCTGTTCACCTGCTGATTGTCCAAATAGAAAGCCATCACCAGTTATTTGGTTGTCAAGCCATGCAGGAATATCTTCCTCTGTAATTATAAAACCATCAAAGAGTACCGATTCAATTTAACTATGAAGGTCACGTATTAGGCACATGTTCGCTTCGCTGAAAAGACAAGCTCAAAAGTATTATTCGCTGATTTGTTGTGAGACAAAAACACTGTTCATTCGGTAAAAAAGTATGGCTCATAAGACAAGCGAACAGACGTCGACAACAAAGTTGGCCGGCAACCTACCTTGATCCTCTCAGCCTCTCAGGCATATCATTTTCTTTTGTTTGCCCCGTCTTTCATTGTACATACCTCTCTATCTGCATAAATGGCCCAAACTTGACGTCAAGCCTCTTCTTTCTCGTCTCACCAAACTTGATAGCGTCCCCTAATAGGTTCTCGTAATCAATCAGACTGAATAATAAACAAGCAATTTCGTTAACCCCCCAATTCTATCTAAAGAGTAAAAGTGTGATAAAAAATTACCAGAGTAATAATACTATAATATCCTTAATGAATTTTTGGTTGATCAACGGATAGCAATAATTCTTTTGGGAATGAAGCACAGTAACAAATCTCTTCTTGAATTGGGGGAAAAGATTTTCACTTAGGCGCAATATAGCCAAACTGAAAATATACTGCCGAGCCAACGAGCGTGTCTCATACTATGGATGGATGGACTCTAATATATATTTGGGACTAATTTTAGACTCTATCTTTATTTGGGACTGCATCTCTGTAATATTTGAGACTGCAAGTGGTGAAAGGGGGCTGCTCGTACTCATATCATTGAATCAGCAGTTTTATGATTTTGCTTTGTTTTTATATCCAGAATGGTCTAGAAATGATATACATGGTTTCCTGAACAGAAAGAACCAATTTTTTAAAATTTTGTCTGAAAGTTTTTTTTATCGCCAATAAATTTCCATTATGTAAGATATTCGCATTTACCGGTGACCACCGAGATTTTTAAAATACCGGTAGAGAAAAGTCGAGCCAACGACCGTGTCTTATTCTACTCGCTCGTGCTCCATACTGGTCAAGTGCAAAGTCGAGCCAACGACCGTGTCTTATTCTACTCGCTCCTGCTCCATACTGGTCAAGTGCAACAGTTGTTATGTCATATCAGTAGTGCGTTTGTGGAAAAACTGTAGTTAGTCTGCCCATTTCAAATCGCTTTGACCAGCAGAAGCCATTAGCCGCCCCTACTCCACTTGTGAGTTGCGGCTTCCACAGGTTTATACTCCTACATATACATTCTCGATCCAAAGAAGGTAGCTTGCACTTGTACACGTAAATATGCGTGTGGGAACAGGCAACTTGTTTCTTGTTGTAGTCCTGCTGGGCTTGTCGTCCCAAGCTGCACTCAGCCAAATCCTGCTGCAGGTAAAAGATTATCAATGTTACTTACTTATTTTGTAATTCTTCTGTATTTATCAATTTGCAATTAATCACAAAAGATCCAGTTTGCTGCTAGTACTTGAATTGACTCCGATCGATCGATCCATGCGTTGGTAGGCCTTCAATTGGGAGTCATGGAACAAGGGAGGACCCGGATGGTACGACTACCTGCAGAGCCAGGTCGACGACATCGCCGCCGCCGGGATCACCCATGTGTGGCTGCCACCGCCGTCGCACTCCGTGGACGCGCAAGGTTATCTTCCGGGGCGGCTGTACGACCTGAACGTGTCCCAGTACGGGAACGAGACGCAGCTGAGGGCCCTCATCGCGGCGTTCCACGGTAAGGGCGTCAAGTGCATCGCCGACATCGTCATCAACCACCGCACGGCGGAGAGCAAGGACGGCCGCGGCGTCTACTGCATCTTCGAGGGCGGCACGCCGGACGGCCGCCTCGACTGGGGCCCCCACATGATCTGCCGCAACGACAGCTACTCCGACGGCACGGGCAACGCCGACACCGGCCTGGACTACAAGCCGGCGCCGGACCTGGACCACCTGAACGACGTCGTCCGGAGCGACCTCGCGGGTGGCTCCAGTGGATGAAGAGCGACGCCGTCGGCTTCGACGGCTGGCGCCTCGACTTCGCCAACGGCTACTCCCCGGCCGTCGCCGGCAGGTACATCAGCAGCACGACGCCCGACCTCGCGGTGGCGGAGATATGGACGGACCTGGCGTACGAGCAGGACGGGAGGCCGCGCGCCGACCAGGACGCGCACCGGCAGGTCCTCGCGGACTGGGTGGACGCCGTCGGCGGCCCCGCGGCGGCGTTCGATTACACGACCAAGGGCATCCTCCAGGCCGCGCTCAACTTCAGCCAGCTGTCGTGGATGAAGGACGCCCAGGGGAGGGCGCCCGGTCTGGTTGGCCTGCGCCCACATCAGGCCGTCACGTTCATTGACAACCACGACACCGGTTCAAAGACGCATCAGCTCTGGCCGTTCCCGCCGGCGATGATCTTGCAGGGCTACGACTACATCCTCACGCATCCAGGCATCCCTTGCATCGTACGTGCTTATGTATAGGAGCATGAAAGACCAGATATAGGAGCATGTATATATTTAATCTCTTCCATTATATTGCAGTTTTACGACCATTTCTTCGATCCGGACATGAAAGACCAGATCACTACGATGATGAAGATAAGGACGCGGAACAAGATTGGGCCGGCCAGCAAGTTGCGGATTCTCCTCGCTGAAAACGACGCATACGTCGCAGAGATCGACGGCAGTGTGCTAGCCAAGGTTGGACCTAGGTACGATGTCAGCAAGTACGTTCCTGACGGCTTCCAGGTGACCACCAGTGGAAGCGATTTCGCAATATGGGAGAAAAGGTACGTGCCTGCCTGCCTGCTCACGATTATATTGCCAGATTGTATGATCGATGTTATTGGTAGTTGAATTATTGCCAGCCAGATCGACATGTTGTCTGTTCATCATCTTCATTTCAGCTCCGTTGTGCAAACGAACACACCGCCACCGTCAACAACAACAACAAGGTCGCGGAGGTGGGTAACGCCAGTCGTTGCCACGGTTGCGCCGCTCTCGGCCTTGCTCGCCTGCAGTGCGGCAGTGATGCTCCTGTTCCGGCGACAAAAGAGGAGGAGCAGGCGGCGGCGGATGCAGGGGATCGCCAACGCAATTGATCACTCCGATGACGAGGACGACGACGACCCTGACCAAGCAGATTTCGAAATAGGGGTGGTCGGGCCTAGGAGGTACCACTACCGCGAGCTGGCGGCAGCGACCGGCAACTTCGACGAGGAGAACAAGCTCGGGAGTGGCGGCTTCGGCCCTGTCTACCGTGGCTACCTCGCGGCGCAGGACCGCCACGTCGCCGTCAAGGTGCTCTCGCCGGAGACCTCCACACAGGGCCGCAGGCAGTTCGAGGCCGAGGTCCGGATCATCAGCCAGCTGCGGCACCGCAACCTGGTCCAACTCGTCGGCTGGTGCGAGAGCCGCAAGGGCGGCCTCCTGCTCGTCTACGAGCTCGTCCCGGAGGGCAGCCTTGACCAGCACCTCTACGGCGCGGCGGAGCGCCTCCTGGCGTGGCCGGAGAGGTACAGGATCGCGGTGGGGCTCGGCGCCGCGCTGGTGTACCTGCACGAGGAGTGGGAGCAGTACGTGGTGCACGGCGACATCAAGCCCAGCAACATCATGCTGGACTCCTCGCACAACGCCAAGCTAGGCGACTTCGGCCTGGCGCGGCTCCTCGACCATGGCGTCGGGCCGCGCACCACCAGGGTCGTGATGGGTACCATGGGCTACATGGATCCGGACCTGGTGAACACGCACAAGCCCAGCAGGGCCTCCGATGTGTACAGTTTCGGCGTCGTGCTGCTGGAAGTCGCCTGCGGCAGGCCGGCCACGGACGAGCTGCCCGACGGGGAGACGCTGGCACTGCCGGAGTGGGTGTGGGAGCTCTACGACCGCGGCGCCGTGCTGGAGGCCGCCGACGGCAGGCTGGACGGTCAGTTCGACGTGTGGGAGATGGAGCGCATGCTGGTCGTAGGGCTCTGGTGCTCGCACCCGGTGTCCAGGGAGCGCCCGTCCATCGTGCACGCTCTCAACGTGCTGCAGTCCCGGGAGGCCACCCTGCCGGCCCTCCCGACGAACGTGCATCGTGGCGCCGCGGCGCCAACTGCCGGGTTCAGTGCGTACGTTCACTCTCTGTCGTCCGTATCTGATCTGATCTGATACCAGTGCCACCCAGGATCTAAAAGCGTATACCAAGAGAAGAGACTCGTTCTCTTTATTTTCTACTGCATTTAACTATTTTTTTAAACTTCAATGACTATAAACTTGTATCGAGGGTTTAGCAGTGGCCCTATATTTTCAACGCTGCGACTTGAGCCCTGGCCGTCCCGGTGCTAGAACCGCCTTTATCTATGTGTCGGTATTTTGTAAATTAGACTAATAAATTTATACGATTGTCGTGCTACTCTAGAAAAACGATGGTAGCATCCAATAGATACGCTGGTTCAGGCCGAGACCCTACGTCCAGTCTCAAAGATGATCGAGTGCATGTTCCTCGCTTGAATGCTCTTAAGTTTTTACAATGGGGGCTGCAAGAAAGGTGTAAGAGATGGAAGGACCTATGCTAGGTGATGGGCTGCCCGAAGAGAAGCTCTAGGAGCCGATTTTTCTGGAAAACCAAAAATACGAGCTTTCAAAAAAATTTCTTGCAATTGAGTGAAACATGTAATTGCTAGGTCAAACACGAGTCCAACTCGCTAACAAGACGTTGCATACATGTAGATGGTTTGTAGGTGATTGCCAGAGTTTTCGAGTTGTCGTGTGTTTGAGCCTCGTTTTGTGTTGGAGAGCACAAGTCCGTAGCCAATCCTTTTGACTCCTTCTGGAATCTCTCATGAATCCCTTGACCTAATTTCTATAATCAACCGACTATCTTTATCAACTCAATGCCCGTGAATTGCCAACCCTTGACATGGACCCCACTACCCCTAGTTGACCTCTAGTGGACCCCACTAGGAGGTGTACAAGTTGGCGACACATGTATACAATATAGGAACCATGGAAGGAAATAGGTTGGAAATAGAAATAGAAAAGGACAGGAAATAGGAGAATGATATAGAAAAGCCTTTCGGCCCAAGACGAAGCACTAGCCCTACCAGGCAACCCCTTCCCTTGGCTCAACCAGGCCGCTGCCACTGCACGGCCCAGCCTGGCCAGCAGCCGAAGCCCCCACTCCAACCCTAGGGAGCACGCGCCCTGGCCTCCAAACGTCGCCGCTGCTCGCTCTGACACACGCGCACGCACCCTGCACGCGCACCGCACGCAAGCTCGTGACCCCACGTGCCTCGGCTTCCACGCCGCTTGATGCTCGCCGTGTGTCTCTGCCCGTGCACGGACGTCGAGGATGGACGGCACCTCAGGAACCCTAGCCGCTCGCCCTATAAATACCGTAGCAATCGGCACCCTCGACCACTCCCTGTAGCCGCCGCCGCCCTGCCTGCCTCTGCCTCCGTCGCCCGCGAGCGCTGCTCCGAGCCTCGCCACCGGGAGCACCTCTAGCCCGGCAGCGACAGCGCCACCGTGCAGCCCTCCTCGTCGAACTCCGCAGTCACGGCCTCAGCCAGCCACCGCGGCCACACCGTTGGTGCCTCGCCGCGCCGCACCGCAGCTAGCCACGACGTTCGGAGCCCGCGTGCACGTCGCATGCGCCGAGGACAGCAATGCCGAGCTGGAGCTGTACCGCGCCAAGGGACGCGCCCCAGCGGCCACGAATGTCGCGCCGTCCTCGCCACGACGCGTCCGCGAGGACCACCGATGGAGCCGCGACCGCGTCGAGCTTCGCCCCGTCCCCAAGCACCGCATCCATGACGAACTGTCGAAGTCATGTCCATGCCCAATGTCGTCCTCACCGATTCGAGCGGCAACCACGATGCCTCGCCTCAGCGTGCATGCTTCGTCACCCTCTGCGCCTCGTCCACGTCCTCGCCGAACGCCACGCTACGTCCACGCCCGAGGTAGCCCGCTATTTCCACCACACGCACGTACACAGGACCGAGCCATGCCGCCCCTGGACGCACGCCACGTTCGCACCCACGAACATGAGCCAAGTTGTAACCTTGATGAGCCCCTAGCAGCTAGGGAACAATAGTCGCCACCACGACGCCGTGCACTCTCGCCATGGCCAGGACACGGCCATGGTGGGGCCGTTCTGCCCACACCCGGAGGGTAGGGTTAGGGGAAAGCCCACCATGCGACTCGCCTCACCCTAGAACACGCCCTGCCAAGCCTCGCCTTTGGCCACCGACGACAGCCGCAGCCGCTCCGTCGACCATCACCGGCCACCGGCTCTCCTCCACTGTGATGCCGAGCCAAGAACTGGTGACCAAGGTCACCACATCCGACTGCAGCAGCACCAGCTGCGAGCTCCATCCTCGGCTGCCGTGGTCACCACCTCGCTGAGCACCTCTTCATCCCCGTCGGGAGGCACGCCCCTGCGTGCTCCAAGCTTTCGGACAGCAGCAGCAGCCCTTCCTCGTTATGCACCACCGACCACTTCGCTGATGGACCGCAACATCTTCCCGGTGTCGACCGTCATTATCTTCTGTGACCGGCCTTCGAGCCGTGTAACTCTACGTGCAGGGAAGAAGCCGGCCCCTTGCGGCGTCTTTCGCGAACCATGGCCGAGTTCCGTCCAACAGCCGCCACCTCTTCGGCAATCTATATCCTTCCCACTTTTGTGAACGTGTGTCTATCTTTCATTCACACATGACCATCATCTATGTATCATCTATCTATCTGTGATTAGTAAATGCCTGTGCTGACCATCGCCGCCGGTCTACTCCTTTGTTTCTATTTCCCTTCATGACGATCTATCTATTACGCGTGTCTATCTCTTGTACCTCGAGTTCTTTTCCCAAGTGCTTCGATTAGGTGCTACATCTTCGTCGCCCGATCACCCGGATGAGCCGAAACCGTTGGATGACCATAGGTGCAACCAACTACAAGCTCCGCCAAGATCACGATGCCGAGCAACGCGGGTCACGTTCTTCCACTTCGACAAACCTCGGTGAGTCACCACCATGCCCCTCTTTCCAACCCCGATTTTGCTTACCGGCCATGGCGTTCCAACCATGGAACACATAGACCGAGGCCACCTCCGGCCTTTGGACACACAAGCGCACACACACACGTGACTAACCCAAGCCAAATCGAACCACCGGAGTTCCAAGAACGCCGGTGTGGTTGCCGACCACCGTTGAGGCATTCTCTAAAGCCATGTCTCATCCACCGTGAACCACGCCCGAATGAGTCAAGCCTTGATCACCGTCTCTGACGTTGCGATGGAGCTCTACCGCTCCTAGACACGCCCGCACTCACTAGCACGAGACCGGACTTAGCCAAACGGATCCATGGCGTAGGAGACGCCGAAAAGGACTTGTCGCCTGTAAAACCCATCGTGGCCAAGCCATGCCACGGCGAAGAGTTACCATGACCTCATCGTGAGCCCCGAAGCCGTAATTAGACCACGTGGTATTGATCGCCGCATCATGGACTGCAGGATTCCCTTTTTGGTTGCCCTAACGGTTCCGTGGAACCCTGTGCCCGTGTTTCACCACTGTTCCGGCTACCTCGAGTTACGAGAACATGCCGTCGAGATCTACCGGGACCCACACTAAAGGCCTTTTGAATTAGTCACATTGCACAACTCATGGACAAAGCCCTGACATACACCGCATGACCTAGCACCGTGCCGTTGTTGTATTGAGTCCGTTCCCGACATTCCGGCTGCCTCGTTAAACGAGGGCGAGCCGTTGAGAAACCGTGTGATCCCTAGCATCGTACCGATGACAAGTGGAGTCTTTCCGACATTCTGGTCGCCTTGCCTTGCAAGTGCGTGCCGTTGAGGAGATATCTTGACCCCGTCTACTGCGAGCCGTAACCTCTAGACCATGAACCCTAGTCGTATGTCTTATCGAAACCATGGAAAGCCCCGTCTCTCACCTTTTCCGTATACGCAAATCTACCTTGTTGGGCCCTATTCTTACGACCTATCTGTCCATGACTGTCTTATAGGATCTATCCATCACCCAACTATGGAATGTGCTACTCCTCCATTTTTGTCGGGTTGTTTGGTCGTGTCTTATCGCTGGTTGTTGGTGTTGTTGCCTGTGTGCCGAGCCTTCGAACCGGCTGAGGGATCGTACCTCGTTCGGACATTACGATCGCGGGATCCGTCTCGCCATGACCATGATGTCGAGTGTAACTCGACCCCTCGCTCTTAGTCGACTTCATAATACTACAAGTGCTAACTCCTACCTTCGGCCCTAGGACATGGTCGCGATGGATTCGATATCGATATTGATATCGATGCGGATATCACCTGCTCACATCGAGCCTTTCGTGACCTAGCCTGTGGGAGATGACCTGGGAGATAACAATCGTGGAACGATGGATGCCAACACGTGTTGGTATAGCTTGTGGCTGCGAGTCTGCCTCACCATGATCATGGAGCTATGCCTCTCTCTTTCATTTGCTTCTTCGTGCTCAAGCCCTTGTGTGTTTGTACCCCGTTCGACCATCGTGTTTCTTCGATTCTCGCGGTGACCACCGCACCGTTATGAATCAGAGAGATGACTTAGTGCTAGTGCACCCAGGTCGGGTACCCTATGAGTGGTTTACGCACTTGTATTCTTTAGTGAGTCGCTCCTTCCGATGCCCTATCTTCTATCGTGGCGTGTGTGTTGGAAGGAGCAGACCTCCGTTCTTTACTGTTATTGCCCTATTAGCCCGCTCTGTTCGATCCCACCTCGTCCATGGCGATTGGATCAAAGACCGGACTATCTCTTTTTAGTTAGCGAAGCTATAGTCTATGTCGTACCTCGGACCCGTGCGTGTTGACCCGATCGGCCATCTAAAACCATCTTTCCCGAAGATGTGTCTGAGAACATGACATGGATGTGCCTAGCTAACCCCCGCTTCTTTTGTTTTGCTGAGAAACTCTCTTCTCGGCTCCCGGCGTTATTATGTCGTGTGGATCGAGAGAACCTGTTGCTGTCCAATCTCTTTGCGCTACCGCTTTCTACCATAGCGGATGAGCCGAAGTACATTGGAGTCAAGTCACAAAAGTGTTATTCGTTCTTGTTTGCTTCTTGTATCCAAAAAGTGACTTACGGGATAAGACTATAAGAGCCGAACCCTGTCGTTCTTGCTTCGTTGGGCCC